AGAGTCTACAGAACCTTAAATAACAGAGTCTACAGAACCTTAGAGCCTAAATAACCTTAGATTCTAGAGAACCTTAAAGAGCAGACTCTAAAGAACCTTAAAGAAGAGTCTACAGAACCTTACAGTCTACAGAACCTTAAATAATCTTAAAGAGCAGAGTATACAGAACCTTATAGTCTACAGAACCTTAAAGAACAGAGTCTACAGAACATTAAAGGGCAGAGTCTACAGAACATTAAAGAACAGAGTCTACAGAACCTTAAAGAACCTTAAAGAGCAGAGTCTACAGAACCTTATAGTCTACAGAACAGTAGACTCTACAGAGCATTAGAGTATACAGAACCTTAAAGAGCAGAGTCTACAGAACCTTAAAGAGCAGAGTCTACAGAACCTTAAAGAGTAGAGTCTACAGAACCTTAAGAGTATACAGCACCTTAAAGAACCTTAAAGAGCAGAGTCTACAGAACCTTATGGTCTACAGAACATTAGAGTATACAGAACATCAGAGTCTACAGAACATTATAGTCTACAGAACCTGAGAGTCTACAGAACTTTAAAGAGCAGAGTCTACATAACCTTAAAGAGCAGAGTCTACAGAACCTCAGAGTCTACAGAACCTTAAATAACCTTAAAGAGCAGAGTCTACATAACCTTATAGTCTACAGAACATTAGAGTCGACAGAACCTGAGAGTCTACATAACCTTAAAGAGCAGAGTCTACAGAACCTTAAAGAGCAGAGTCTACAGAACCTTAGAGTCTACATAACCTTAAAGAACCTTAAAGAGCAGAGTCTACAGAACATTAAAGAGCAGAGTCTACAGAACCTTAGAGTCTACAGAACCTTAAAGAACCTTAAAGAGCAGAGTCTACATAACCTTATAGTCTACAGAACATTAGAGTCTACAGAACCATCAATCAATCAATCAATCAATCAATCAATCAATGTTTATTTATATAGCCCAATATCACAAATGTTACATTTGTCTCAGTGGACTTCACAGTTTGTACAGAATATCAGTATGACAATACGACACCCTCTGTCCTTAGTCCCTCTGTCCTTAGACCCTCTGTCCTTAGACTCTCACATCGTACAAGGAAACCCTTCCAGAGAAAACCCACAGTTTAAAGGGGAACATGGGAGAAACCTCGGGGAGAGCAACAGAGGAGGGATCCCTCTCCCAGGACGGACAGACGTGCAATAGATGCCGTGTGTAAATTGAAAAAAATACATGTTGCAACATAGGTAGTCCAATTGTTTGGAAATGCATGTGTGTATAATAGGAAGATGAATCCACGAGGATATCCATCCATCCTTATGATCCAGGACCACAGCCACGACTCAAGATCCAGGACTCGCGATCCATGACACAGGATCGCAGGATCATCCATGACTCCGGATCCCGGCGTATATAGACACCGAAAAGAAAGACATTTGGGGAAGCTGGGTTAATCGGAACATGAGAGTACACAGGTATAGACAGAGAGAAGGAAGAAGTAAGATGTCCCCCGACAAA